TGCTTGATGAGATGCAAAGAGTTGTCCACATATGAAGCATTTATCCTTATTTTATCTTTGTGTATGGGTGGGTGGGTGTGTGTGGGGCGGGGGGATATTTTAAACTAAGGGGAACTGAACCACAACAAATACAAGTTTTTATGTATTATTTTTGCTTCTTAAAGGGAGTCAATTGTGTCACAAAATGTATCAAATTCAAACAGTGAAAGCTGCCACCACGTTAGGTGAAACAAAATATTTAAAGACTTAAAGAAGAAATAAATAACACAGCAAATATATAGGCATGGGTGATCAAACTTGAAGAAGATCAAAATGGATTGCAATAATTATTGCAGTTTTTAAAAACTCGTCAGCCTAACGGTTTTTCAGGGTCAATTGAAAATTTTAATTAAGCATGCCTGATGGCACACTACTCCCATGCTGGCATGTCATTTTGCACACTCTCTATTGCCTAGCATGCTGTCCATTCACCTTATTCCCTGAAATCCCATGGAGGGTCACATTAATTTGATATTATGCTTTGGTACAAAGCTGTGATTAAGTCATTTACAAGTAAATTCTTTGCTAACATTAGACCTGTTCCGTAGCAAATAAAGACTTGTTACATGTACTTAAAATACTGAAGTGGACAGCCATGACATGGCCCCTTTAAGTTCTGTTGAACTTGCAACTTTTTTTGATTTTACTTCAACTACTTTTTTCCTACCTGGCTGGATATTTGCCAGCTGAAGCATGCAATAAGCTATGGAGGACTTCAATGTTGTTGGCCCAAAGTGAGTAATGTTTCGTTTTCCTCTGCTTTCTTTGGTTAACGCAATTGGTTATTGTTGTAAAGGTAACTGTTATAACTCATCTTGAAGTTACAGACCTAACGATTCCAACACACGCCAGCCAAACCAGTCATTTATCCCTCCTCCAAACTTGGCTGCAGCCTCCGGGGATGAAAAGCCATGCTTATTGCCAGTACGGGTACATGTAACACGGAATTGCGGCAGTAGGTTGGAGGTATTAAAGGATTTATCACTTGATGAATTTTGAGTCAACTGAAAAAGGAGACAAAGCTTAATTTAGTACAAATACCTTGAGAATACTGCAGAAATACAACACTGGTACAACCAAACAAAATTCTACTGCTTTCAATGTGCGCTGGAACCTCAACATAAAGAAGGGCCAAGGGACTAGCAAAAATTAATTTGACGCTGTAATAAGGTTTGGTTATATCCAGGTCCTTTTCCAAATATTTTACTATTTACTAGGGTAAAGAAAATTGTTCGTTGCCAAGGGCTTCGTTATGTAGAGGTTCGTTATGTCTATGTTCCACTCTGCTTGACTTAAAAACAAAGTTTTGTGTGTTGTTTTAGATACATAGTGTTCTGGCAAGTCTTTATAGTCATGAAAATTCACCCACCATGAATTTACACTTAATTAAACCCACTGTACATGTAGTTGATAGGAAGAGCAAAAACAATGTTGTGGGAATAAGCATCATTTCTAGATGTCCCTCCCTTAGCAGATGTCTTGTCCTCCCCCATCCTTGTGGTTGCAAGAAAAAAAAAGGATATGTCTATTCTGCAGTTGGCTAGAAGTATTCTTGTTTGCAAGTGGCATCAATGGCACAAAGTTGGTGAAAAAGATCAAAGTTTTTTCTCTGCTGGGAACTTTCCTCTAAACACCTTTTTAGCTTGTATATTTTGTTTTCCCAATAGGCGCTTTGTATCTAGCCATTCACGTGGTACTAGCTGTACAACACCACCATGCTTGAGAGCAAAAGCCGCACTGGGACATTAGACAAACAAAGGAAATTACTATTTAAAAGTATATATGTCCTCCAGCATGACGGTTTTGTGCCATGTGAAAAGCTAACTGCAAAGGGCCTATTCAGCTCACGTGATGTTCTCCAGGCCTTTTGAATTATGCATACATATGCAAGTGAATGCACATGCATAGGGGGACATTAAGTGAACAAAACACTTCTCTGCATGTGGTATCATGGGCTATTGCCTTAACAACCAACTAATCTGGCTACCTCGCCACGTGGTTTACAAAACATTATTTTCACTGCCATTTCTTACTTCAAACTTATCCTCATTTGAATCTTCACCGCTATGTTTTATCCTTTTCGCAGGAGCTTCTATAACGCCTTCTTCATCAACAACCTTATCATTACCGCCTTCTTGTGAATTTTGCTCATCTTTAACTTCGGAGCACTTATTGTCTACAAACGACTGGCATCTCTTTTTCATATCTTCAGCATGCGCAGACGTCTCACTTCTGAAAAGCATTCCCGCATACCCTGTAAACTGCTTCCACAGAGAAAGCGCCACCTTCCAGTCCAGTGCTTGAGGTAATTTGTACAGTTTCTCGAGAATCTCTGGGCTGAAGCAATCGAGTTCATCGTTGTCTTCTTCGTATTCTTTTATGACAACAAACAAGTTCTCAATAGAGCGAAGGTTTTTCAGCTGAGAAAAAAAATTTGTCGGGATATCAAAGTATACACGGCCTCTTCCCTCCCTTATGGATTTACAATTTAGTTTTTCTCTGCATTCCGAGACAGCAACAGATTCTAAACCTGTCGAAACAGTGGCGCACACTGTTACAACCACATCACCACCGTCCGCCATTTTGCCTTACTTCTCACGTACTACATTATGTACACCAACACAGGACGTAACTACCGGTGGGACATCGTGACGTCACGGAAAGAAAAACAGCGCGACTTCCGTCTTGCAGCTGCCGAAAGTGGCGCTGTTTCTGTTTCATAGCCAAGCGTGACGTTTTTTGAGCTGATTTTCCTGAATATTGAAGCTTCAGGGTGGTTTCTCTTTGAACAAAAAGTGTAGTGACGAAATCTTTTTCTGACAAGGTCAGTGACATGATTACAATCAGTTAGACGAAAGGGTCATTTTCGAGAAAAGTTTGGATGATTGCAAGGTATCATTTTATTTTAGCGAAATTGGTTTGGTGTTTAAACTCGAAACTTGGTACAAGAGTAGGTTACTTCTATGGGAAAGTATTGCCTTTGAAGCTGCTATAAATTAGCGGGGTGTGGATGTAATCGAATGGCATGCCGCCCTCTTTGAGTGGTTTGAATTGGTCGCTTATGCCACTGTAAGCACGTTGCCATCAAAGAGAAGTGAAGTAATATTGAGCAACAGAACATAAAAGAGTGGCTATAGGCCCTTTGCAGCAGTTAGCCATTCCAGAGCCATAGATAGGGGGGAGCAGGGGGAGTCAGGGGGGAAGCTGCCCCCCTGGATCTGTGGAGCCGACAAATCAAGTCTGTGGATGGATTTGTTTACTTAAGACTCAGTTATTTTGATTGTAGTGACTTGCAGTTGTTTGCAATTTCCACGGCTGAGAAATTGGTGGGTCCACGGAGTGTGCAAATAGTGAGCAAAAGGAAGCAAAACCCCCTCTTGAAATTGGCTTGTATATGTACTATTTCGAACTATTTGAAATGTTTAGTGTACGCAATAGTGCTTGGATATATGGTGTGTTTCAAATTAACAGGACCTCAGAAGTAAACACTTGTAAAATATATTATTAAGCACTGAAAACACTTACCTTTTCACACTTATTTGAGGTCAATTTTTGGAGACATATCTCATGACAAGTACTGAAAATAGCATTTTGGAGCCTCCAAATTTGAAATTTTTCTGGGGGAGGATAACCCCAGACCCTCCTAAAAGGCACAGCCCTTCGCCACTCGCAATAATGCCCCCCGTTGGAAAAAACCAAGCTACGGCCCTGCATTCATGAGGTTCAAAACTGCGATGCCAGAGAGCAAAAGTCGCACTGGGACAAGACAAACAGAAAAACGTACATAATTTCAAATGGTAATTTGTTTTGTTTGTGTTTTTGCAGTGTGGCTTTTTCTCTCCAGCATGGCCACATTTGGCCACATCCTTGTATCCAGATGCAGTGTAATGCTGTGTTCATGAATTGTTCTTATTATGTAAAAAACTTACCCATGCCATGGTCCAAAGCTTATCCCTGATAACATTATTTGTACACTTGGGTCAAACTGGTATAAAAAATAGGACTTTAATTATTCCTTGGTCCAAATTGATATTAGAGTTAGGACCTTATTATCCTTGTGTCCAGTTCCTTTCAAAAAATAGCTTCAGTGACAGTACTTTTGGTAGCCATACTGTCATGTAGACCAGCTACCGGTATTTGTATTTGGCTTGAAGGAAGGCTACTCTGCAAAATTTCTTTTTGAAAATATTTGCTCCAGTTAATGTGAAAGAGTGTTGGCTGTAAAGTGTAATGACCTTTAGGCTTATGACATCACTCTTATAAATAACAGCATTCTGACATGAAGAAAAGTCCAGTCGCAGCTCTGAAAGAAGATGACATCACAACAGGGGCTGAGGAAACTCTCCAATTTGGTGATGACAATTTAAGAGGTGAGAACATAAAATGGCACAAGATGCACATATGAGCCAAAGGCCCCATATGGCCAGAGCTTATCCCAGTTTCGTAGCATGAAGCATGGCCAGGAGTACTGCTACCCTCTCCCCTGGAGACAAAGTGGAGTAAAGTTTCTCCTCTAAGGTAACAAAATTATGCGACGGACAAGGCTTGAACCCCAGCCACATGCCTCCACTGAGAACAAAATAACATGTTGCATATTTATCTCACTTTTTGCATCAAGGAAATTTCACTTCATTAGTTTTAATACAAGCCATCGCCTTGAAACATTTTTATCAGAGAAACCCTATGATTGTTTTAAAAAGTTATGTTTTAATTTTGTGCACTTTAATAAAAAAAAAGCCTAAAAAACGTCTTTCACCAATTGATATCTTCACCCGACTTGGCATTTTGTGGCCAGATTTGTTTGTTTTTGTTCAAAAATGTATTTTCTCGGTAAACTTGAAACTTTGCTTAAGAAATTGAAACCAGAAAGGTTATTATCATGACAACACCAAACCATTTGGAAGTAGAACACAAAAAAATTTACTGAGTAGCAGATGCAACTTTTATTTTAAAAGTTTAAAATGCCTGAAGTTATTTCCATTTGCTTTGTTGTAGCAATTGCAGAGGTTTACAAGAATGAGGGTAACGATGAATACAAGAAGAACAATTTCAACAGCGCCATTTTCTTTTACACTGAAGGAATTAAAGTGAACTGCAAGGATGAAGATCTTAACGCCAAACTGTATAGCAACAGGGCAGCAGCACACTTTAACTTGGGTAAGAAGTTGCTTTATATTGGTTGTTTTGATACATGCCATTTATCTTTTGTCAAGTCAAAGTCATGTCAGTAGGCATCAACTTGCTAAGGATTTCAGTAGTTGTTCTATGTATGTTGTTAAAGTAGTGCTGGACATGCTTGGTAATGGTTCCCTAGCTTGATGCCATTATGTGGTCATTAAATTGTACCTTTCTCAGCCTGTGCACAGCCACCCCTCCCCTCTATTCCTTTCTAGGCTATTTATTTTGTTTGTGCATTTCTTTTGTCACAGGAAATTACTCTGAAACAGTGAGTGATGCTAAAAGTGCCATTGAACTAAAGCCATCTTATTTGAAAGCTTTTGTGCGGGGTAAGATGTAATTAGTTATGTCAAGAGAGGGACCAATGCAAACCATGAACCCTTGTAGGTTAGGGATGTATAACGTTTATGCACTTTGAGGATTTTAGAAGAGGCAGCGTGACATAAATTCCGGCTACAAGTATGTATAAGTCGGTTTTTTCCCACATCAGTGGCTCTTACAAAACTGGTACATCGCGCTGATTTTCACAGCAATTCAAGTACTATTTTGTACCGCAATTTTTTCAAGACACCATAATAGAACTTATTGTGCTCTGTCCCTTCTTTGGAGACCTTGAGCCAATATCCTCACAGTACTGCCAGATTCCAGAATCTGGAATCAAGGCACAGAATCCAGAATCCAAGACTGTCTTCGGTAGATTCCCTTATATGGGACGAAATGACCAGCAAATTGGAGATGGCACTTTGTCAGCTTCAGGGACTGGTGATAGTTTGCCGTAATTCTACTCATGCATCGAGAGCTCTGACTAGTGGATATTTTGGACACGCCAGCATAAGCCACACTGTAGTAGATGTTCCGTCTAGGCACTGCTGTTGTCGTTACATCTGTTAATGATCTGAGATTGTTTACGTTAATTTCTACCTCCTCTCTCGCTCTCTCTCTCTTTGTTTCTCTGGTCGGGTTTCTATATCCTCTTTCCACCATCGTCTTTCCGTCTTGTTTTATTTTGAAGGCCATGCTTAGTAAGAGTAGGGTGTTCTTTCTATCTTCACCTTTTTGCTTTCCTTAATAATTATAATTATCCTTCCAAAATTTCCAAATGGTCATCTTTCAAATCTGTTAGATATGCTTAATCTCCGATTACAATTAGTGATAGGTGTGTCCATTTAGAAATTTAGCCTATTAAAAATGTTTTAAGCTGATGTCTGTTCTTAACCTTTACAGGGGCAAGTGCCTGTGTACAGTTGAAAAAGTTTAAGGAAGCCAATACCTGGTGTGATAAGGGTTTGACAGTATCCTTTACTGGAATTGTCATTTTATTGTTATTTCTGGCATTAAAAATTCCTTTAACATGGAAAACGTGTTTTTTTTAAGGTCCAGGGGAAGGTCCTGTTCTTTTTACAGTTGCAGCAAGGGTATCAGTGTGTATTTCAACTGGGATATTGCTCCACAAGCTTGTTCAAGCGAAGCGAGGGCGCAAAGTGATTTATAATCTTGTCATCTGCAAAGCCTGCACCCATAACGTGGCCCACGCCTGGATCCTAGCGAGCTGCAAACCCACAGCACCCACCTATATAGTTGTTTAGTAAAATCCAACTAGTGGTCGATTATCAATGCTGCTTTCTGATTGGTTGAGCTACTACTAGGCTATATCAGAATACTGCGTTTGGAATGGTTGAGCTACTTCTAGGGTATGTCAGAAGCATATAACCCCGAATTGGGGTTATATGCTTCTGGCTATATGTTATAGCCCACTAGTAGCGAAAAGTGCTGGCTTTTTGGCAGCAAAAAAGGATTAAACTAGATAAAAAATTTTTATTCTCGATATTTTTGACCATCCAGTTGGATTTTACTAAAACAATTTTTCCTCTCGCCCCCATGGCCTCTAAGCCTTCGGCCTCATTGTTTATAGTATCATACATAAGAAGGCAAAGCCGTTTGTCCCTCCTCTTGGCTATCGTGTGGCTGTTATCCCAATTAAGAAATCTGCTGATCCGTGGGAGGTAATTATACAGGCTGCTCTGTTTTGCAGTTTGTGAATTTTGCTTGCTAGCCCTTTATTCGGGTTACCGCAGACAGCATAACAGTAGTCAAAGACTGGCTGAATTAAAGAACTGTAAATTGTTTTTAGTACATATTGAGAACTGAACAAAATCGCGAACCTGCCTAAGAACACTTATGGAATGACTCATACCCAGGAGGTGTAAAATGTGGCACTTAACTCAAAATTGACTTATCTTTACTCATTTCTAAAAAAAATGCTTTTTTATTGTGATATTTCTTTCTTTTTGATGCTTAAACCGGTAACGAAAAGAAGCAGAAGAAGCACGCCATATCACGAAACATTTTCTGCCATGTGCGACGTTTGTAGAAAACCGGTCAAACTGTTCTTGTGGAGTACAAATACCTTGTGATATTAATTTGTACTCGTTTTGGGTGTTATTTGTACTATACTGTGTGAAGTTGAATAATAATTCTATGGGGGTTGCTTTGTCCCCATCACGCATAAGTCGTCACATGACTAAAGAGAATATATTTTAAGTTTATAAGCTGTCTCTTATTTATGTAAATTATTTAACAACTTAACCAGTATCAAGATTGACCCGAACAACCAGACGTTGCTGGAGTTACGAGAAAGGGTTTTGGGAGAAAAAAGGACATTGCAAGAGAGCGACGGGAAAAAGGTAAACAAGAGGAAAAGATTTGCGATTTCAAACTTTTTTGTTAGGGTAAAAATGTGGATTCATTGGGTTTTAAATTTGTTAAATGGCGCGTGGACTACAAGACTATAAAACTGGATTTCAACCGTTTTGAATAAGTTTTTCTGATTTAAATCTGTGCAAACGTTATAACCAGCAATGTTTATTCTCAGTTCAAACAGTATAACTCTTGTATATAATTATTGCAACAGTGTACCCAGGGGCACCCAACGAGGATATAGTTCAAAACCACTTAACATAGCATTGTTGAACGTATTTTAGTATTCAAACGGTAGATATAGGCATATTTTCATCCCCTAAAAACTTTTCATCTGTTCGGATTTCCTAGCTGAAAATCTAGTGATCCGAAAATTATAGGGATAAAAACTTACCTTCTCGAAAATTTCAGCCAGGAAAAGGCTCCGCTTTTAAGATCCACCGGTTTTTTAGGGTCAAAATCCGTTAAAAATGAGTAATTATACCATTTTGTAGATGTTCGAAAATCCTAGGAGAGGCAGGCAAGCAAGAAATTTTACAACAAATGCTCCGAAAATTTTAGATCTCAAATCGTCTTCCGAACAGATATTTTCCCCAAAAATTGCCGCTGGGTGCCCCTGTGTACCTCAAGAAATTTATGTACGCCTATTATATGTACCCTCGAATTTTCATCTTCTAGAAATAATTTTTCAGCTCCGTCACTGAACAACTGGACCTTTCTCCTGTTCAAATACCAACCGTTTGTAGTTTTCAGTTTTGACATTTTGAGGAATCCTGAGCAAAGGAAACTCGAATTCTATTGCACAGCTTTCTTTGTAAATTTCCGAAATTCATTTGCTTGACTGACATTTAATTTTGAGTCATTTAGTTTAACATATAAACTTTAAAAGCTGAATTTATCCAGGTTTGTTTTCAGTTTTCAGCTGATTTCATTCAGCCTTTTTTCCATTTGTTTTGTGATTGTTTTGATCGGTTAGTATAAACAGAGCACTGTTATCGCTGTTTTTATATTTTGGATTCACATGCATGTATGATTTACGTCTGCACGAGCTGCAAATTAAGCCGTTGAAGTCCACGTTCGAGTGCTGTCCTGTTTTCCAGTTGAAGCAGATCCTAGTACCATAGAGGGGCCAAGTTCCAATCTTGTTAGTCAAGCGAGTCACAGAGTTAATTTTCCTCATTTGTTGTTCACACGACATACGGAAGGGTAAAAAAACTTATCGTCAGATTTTTGCATGTGTGTCGTTTGAGGGGCAATCTCGGTGAACTTAACATGCCGTACAGTAGGCCGGACACACAACCACTTTTCTTTGCAAGTGATTTTATCTGTTTTAGGCTGGCTATAAGACAGCCCTAACGCAGATAAAAGGTCTACTTTTCCAGGTATTCAAGCTGACAAACACTCACACTTACAGATGAAAATAGAGAATACATGAAATTCATATATAGGAACTGCGCGATGAAGATTTACTTAAAGTAAATGTAAGAAAGGTCATCGCAGTTATAAATGCAATTTTGCGACTTCCGAAAAACAGCCCGAAGATATCCGTGCTCGTACGGGATTCAAATACACCCAACCATACTGACTGTGTGCTTCAGTTTAGTTGAGCATAAGTCGAGTCATCCGGGCTGACTTGGTTTCCGATATATTGGCTCAATCTGGAAGGTGGGATAGCCCTATTATGGCGTCCCAGTATCTCTGATCGTAAGCTCTATTGTCCAGCTGGCTATTATTTCATATAAACATTTATTGTGCGCAATTTGTTTCACAGAGAAATGGCCAGACGGCTGAAACATCGGGGGACAATAAGGCATATGGTAATCTTGGCAGTGCCTATGACAGTCGAGGACGTTTTAAAGCAGCCGTGGACTACCATGAACGTATCCTGGAAATTTCGAGAGAATTAGGTGATAAATGGAATGAGGGAGCTTCGTATGGCAATCTTGGCAACGCCTATTATAGTCTAGGAGATTTTAAAACAGCCATACACTACCATAAACGTCGCCTGGAAATTGCAGAAGAATTGGGTGACAGATCAGGGCAGGGAAAGGCGTATTGTAATCTTGGCAACGCCCATAGCAGTCTGGGAGATATAAAAACAGCCATAGACTACCATGAGCGTCACCTGAAAATTGCGAAAGAACTGGGCGACCGATCAGGGGAAGGAGCCGCGAACGGCAATCTTGGCAACGCCCATCACAGTTTAGGGGATTTTAAAACAGCCATAGACTACCATAAACGTCACCTTAAAATTGCAAAAGAACTGTGTGATAGATTGAACGAAGGAAAAACGTATGGCAATCTTGGCAATGCGCTTTTAAGTCTGGGAGATATTAAAACAGCCATCGACTATCATGAACGGAACCTGAAAATTGCGAAAGAATTCCATGACAGATCAGGGGAGGGAATCGCGTATGGCAATCTTGGCATTGCTTATTCTAGACTGGGAGACTTTAAAACAGCCATAGACTACCATAAACGTGATCTGAAAATTGCGAATGAAATGGGTGACAGATCAGGGGAAGGAGCTGCATATAGCAATCTTGGCGACGCCTATCACGAACTGGGAGATTTTAAAACGGCCATTGACTATCATAAACTTCACTTGAAAATTACGGAAGAACTGGATGACAGATCAGGGAAAGGAGTCGCGTATGGCAATCTTGGCGACGCTCATCGCAGTCTGGGAGATTTTAAAACTGCCTTAGACTATCATGAACGCCAGCTGAAAATTGCAAAAGAGGTGGGCGAGATACAAAGGGAAGGAGCTGCGTATAGTGGTCTTGGTAACACCCATGCCAGGCTGGGAGATTCTCAAACAGCCATTGACTACCATGAACGTCATTTGCAAATTGCGAAAGAGTTGGGTGACAGATGGGGAGAAAAGGCCGCGTACAACAATCTGGGCAACTCCTATGACCAACTAGGAGATTTTAAAGCAGCCATAGGCTATCATGAACGTTGCCTGCAAATTGCGAAAGAATTGGGCGACAGGTCAGGGGAAGGAGGCGCGTATGGTAATCTTGGAAATGCCTTTGAAAATCTAGGAGATTTTACAACAGCCATAGACCACCATGAGCGTCACTTGAAAATTGCGAGAGCATTGGGTGACAGATTGGGTGAAGAATACGCGTATGGCAGTCTTGGCAAGGCCCATGGCAAACTCGGAGATTTTAAGACAGCCGTAGACTACCATGAACGTTGCCTGCAAATTGCGAAAGAATTGGGTGACAGGTCGGGGGAAGGAGGCGCGTATGGTAATCTTGGTAACGCCCATGGTAGTCTGGGAGATATTAAAACAGCTATAGACTACCATGAACGCCACCTAACCATTGCGAAAGTATTGGAAGACAGACCAGGGGAAGGATCCGCTTATGGCAATCTTGGTATCGCCTATCAAAGTCTGGGAGACATCAAAACAGCGATAGACTACTATAAGCGTCACTTAAAATTTGTGAAAGAAATGGGTGACAGGTCAGGGGAAGGATCTTCTTATGGCAATCTTGGCAGCGCCTATTACAGTCTAGGAGATTTTAAAACAGCCAAAGACTACCATGAACTTACCCTGAAAATTGCGAGAGAATTGGATGACCCATTACAAGAGGGAAAAGCGTGTATAAATCTTGGTTCTAATTTTGCTTGTTTAGGCCAAGTTCCAGTGGCCATTGAATATTACGAGCTCGCTATTGCTTTATTCAATAATATCAGAGATCGTCTTCAATTGAACGACGAGTGGAAAATAAGCTTACGTGATCAGTACCAAAGACTATACACTGCACTTTGGTGGCTGAAATTAAAAGAAGGGGAGGTTACGGAGGCTTTGCTTTCTGCCGAAAAAGGACGGGCACAGGGGTTAAAAGACCTTATGGAATTAAATTATGTATTTAAAGAGAATGATGCGGAATTGATTAAGGAAAGCAGAACCTTTCATGAACTGTTCAATAGCCTTCCTCCTAATACAATATTTATGGCGATTGTAGAGAAGGAATTAATTCTATGGGTCTGTCAGCCCGGAAAAGAGGTTGAATTTAGAAGAAAGGAAGTCAGTTGTGAATATGAGATCAACAGTTTTTTTCAGTCTCTTTTGGAGAAAATTAGTGCAACAGACAATGTGCAGTGTGAAGATCGTTCACTTGAATTGACGAAGGATAAAAGATTGGCAGATAAAGGATCACCTAAATGTGATAGACAAACTCAAGACTTGCACTCTCAAGAAAGAGCCTTGAGCACACTGTACGACACTATCATTGATCCTATCCAAGATCTTTTGTCAGGCAGTGAAGTCATATTCGTCCCAGAAGGTCCACTTTGCTTAGCTCCTTTTGCTGCATTTATGGGCCCAGACTCCAAGTACCTTTGCGAATCTTTCAGAATTCGCGTGGCTCCATCCCTCACCAGCTTAAAAATGATTGCGGATTGTCCGGTAGATCATCATCTCACATCGGGTGTGCTTCTCGTCGGTGATCCGTGGGTGCAAGACGTGACGACGCTACCGCCGTTGCCATTTGCCAGAGAAGAAGTACAGATGATTGGTAGAGTGCTTGGTAGTACGCCTCTTATTGGAAGACAGGCCACAAAGGATGAGGTGTTAAAACGACTCGGCTCAGTTGCTTTGGTCCACTTCGCTGCACATGGCAGCATGGAAGCAGGCGAAATTGCCTTAGCACCCAAAAATGGTGAGATGGATTTTATTCTGACGATGAAAGATGTAAAACGTGTTCAGATACGTGCAAGGTTGGTTGTACTCAGTTGCTGCCACAGTGCTCATGGCGAGATCAAAGCAGAGGGTGTAGTCGGCATAGCACGGGCATTTTTAGGTGCTGGTGCTCGCTCTGTTCTTGTATCATTGTGGGCGATTGACGACAGGGCCACTCTTGAGTTTATGAAACATTTCTATCAGCATCTTGTGGAAGGAAAAAGTGCTAGTAAAGCCCTTAACCAAGCAATGAATTGCATGAGAGAATCCAGAGAATTTAGCGCCGTAGATCACTGGGCACCGTTCGTTCTCATTGGTGATGACGTCACATTGGAATTTGGTGGGAGCAAATAGATTACCCACAATAATGTCGAGGTAATAATTTTTGTTGTTATTATTTTACACTTTACAACAAGGTATTTTTACTTCTCAAGAAACTAACTCAACACAAGGCCAAGGAAAAAAGGTCATAATCGCTCAGTTGCATTAAAAACTTGACTTCGGATATTATTACTCGTGCAGGGACTGTTAACCGTCTCGGTAAAGGTCGGGAAACCAATAATTTAATTGTAGTTTTAGCATTTCAAAAGAAATGATTTGAAATATAATAGAACATATCATCACATTAAGTAGCCTTACCAAGCTTGCAGAGCCGTAGCTAGCAGTGGGGGGGGGCGGGGGGGGGGGGG